CATATACAAATACAAATACATATTTAAATACATAAGTATTTTCAACATTTCGGAGTTGACGTAGGTCAACTGCCAAACTGCTGCGGCCAAGGACTGCGCGCACGGCCGTCGGATTGCGCTTTAAGCGGCGGCTTAAACATCCTCCCCGCCCTGCAGGAATGCGCTGCTTAGGGTCTCCTGCAGTTCTTTCAGCGCGCGGATCGCGTTGCCCAGGGCGCGGCTAGTGGTGCGGCCCTGATAGTTGGCCGTTTGCAGGCCTTGGGGGGTGCGCGCAATCGTGCGTCGGGCGTTCTTCTTGCGCGGCGGTTGCGATGCCTGATTGCGCATATTGTGCGCCTGGTTGCGCGGGTTCTGCGCCTTTTGCTCCGGGCTTCCCTTGTTGGTGGGCGTCTTTACTCGCTTACGTGTAGGTGCGCGATGCTTGGGTTGCTGCTTTCGTTGGCCCGTGCGCGCATGGTTGTTGGCTGCCACATGCAGCAGCGTGTAGTGCGCTAGCCCGCAGGTCTTGCAGCTGCCTGGGGAGTCGCACTCCCCCGTAGTGTGGGTGAGGGCAAGGCAGTTGATGCAGTAACCCTGTGCGCGGGCTACTCCCAACCGTTGTGGCGGCCGAGCACGTCCGCAAGGCGTGGTACCGGTGGCAGAGCCGGCATTGTAGGCAGTTGTCCGTTTCCGCCGTTGGAGCCAGGGGGCATGCCTTCCTTGATGCCATGATGTCTTCGATCTGGAAGTAGAAGCAAAAGCAGAGAAACGAGAAGTATACAATATTTAAACGGGAAGTTAAGACCCTTAATATACAGAAGGAAAATATGTATAGAATTATTTATTGTGCTTTTGGAAGGAAGCACAGTTTGACAAGTGGCCGCGTGATAACTCCATTTTGTGTACGGATTTCTACGACACGTATGTGGTTATCAGGGCCGTGGCGAACGTTTTCGATTCGTCCCAATCGCCACTCGGTGGGGGGGAGCGAATCTTCTTTGATCACGACGAGGTCGCCTGGCTGAGGATCGCGTTGTGGGGTTTTCCACTTGTATCTCTTCTGAAGATCTTTGAGGTAATCTTCTTTCCAGCGGCGACTAAATTGGTGGTGAAGTGCTTTAGGCTCGGGAATGGCCAACAGCGGTGCACCTCGAAGGAAGTGACCCGGAGTAAGCGCTGTCATATCAGCTGGGTCTTAGGAAAGTGCGGACAGAGGCCTCGAGTTGAGGACTGCTTCGATTCGCACCAGAAGTGTCGTGAATTCTTCGAAAGTAAACTTGTGGGTTGCAGCGGTTTTCTTTAAATGGATTTTAAAGCTTCTCACTGCAGATTCCCACAAGCCGCCCATGTGGGGGGCGCTGGGTGGTATATATTGCCAGTTGATGCCTTGAGGGGCATATTTTTTGACAATGTGTGCAGAAGATTCGTTAAGGAATTTAACGAAGTCGCGTTATGTTGCGCGAGTTTAATACTCAAGTCAGGAAAGTTATAAAAAAAAAATATTTTTTTATTTTTCTGAGCAAGAGCTCTTTATTTGAATTCGTATAATCTCGAACTCCTTACATGTTTATGCTTACATCTATTTATACCATTTCTACTACTGATGATAAATGGTGTTTGTTATTGGTTTAGTGATTAAATTTGTTATTGAAGGTTGTTTACAATGTTATCATATTCTTTTGTTACTTATGAGACAAACATGTTTATTTGTACATTATAGTTTATGTATATATGTAATGTATGTGACCAGGCATGTTAGCTATGTATGTAGTGTATGTATTAACGTCGTTAACTCTCCCCGGTGTTAAAAATGAAATGTCCTCATTTCGAAGGGCTTAGGTTTTGACATCTTTGTAATTCGGTTAGGTAAGCTAATTCGAAGTTTCTTCGACGTTTGGTGCTTAATTGTAGTTGTCGATATGTATGTAATCTTATAATTAAGAATATAAGTAGAATTAGTATAATTATTATTATGGTTAAATATAAAGTAAATTTCCAAGGATGTTCTTCAATTGGAATCACTAATTTATACATTTCTTGTATATTGGTAAATTTATAATCTGATTCGGACTTTAAAATTTTCAATATATTAACTTTTTCGTTTTGATGGGCATGTATTACATTTTTTATTTCCTGTTTATGGTTAATATAAGTTTTATTATCAATAGTTGTATTAAAATTGAATTGGATTAAATGTGGACCGTTTACTTTGAGTCCGTTCCATATGTGTTCATAGTCTATAATAATGTTACCATTATCTAATATTTGTAAGGGAATGTTATTTTCTTGGATAATATTACAGTGAGCATTTTGTTTTAATAATAAAGGAATAGTACAATTATCCTTTGGTTCTTTTTTACAAATATGTGTGCCTACATAGTTTTTACATTTTGATAAGTTGATTAAGTCCTGTTTTAATTTCAACTAGATCATCGTGATCTGGTATTCCTGTAACAAATTTTAATACTGAGCCTAAAAAATTAAGGGCGCGTTTGGCACGATACTCGGATGGTATTAACTGTGTCTTCAGAGTTTCTATTTTATCAATTATTATATTTTTTTCCTTCAGTTTGAATTGAATCATATCTAGTTCTCACTATTTTTTCATATGGAGCTAATATTATAGATAGATTCGATACATGGTAAAGATAGGATGAAGTCTCATAAATATACACGGAATCTAGTTCAGTGAGTACGTATTTCTTACCAGTCAAATCGGTGATTTCATCGCATAACCCGCAGGTTATTATTATTAAATATAAGAATCCTGTTTGTTGCATGGTATGCAATTTTTTCTTATGCTATCTTTGTGTATTATTTTCCCCCTAGTTGTTAGGATTGTGTCCCCACGATCTTCTTTCACCTTATGCTTATTATATTTTGTAGCGAGTTTGTTACGGCGATCGGTTCGGCTGTAAATTAGGTCACCTGGTTTGTAAGTTATGCTTTTCCTGTTCTTATTGTGATGTTGGAGTAGTTTTGCTTGTTTTTCTTCAAGTGTGTCTTTGATATCAGGGTATTTATCACGATTAAAGAACACGTCTTCGGGCTTATATCCTGTGGAGGAGTGAATTGTCCTGTTGTATTGGCGAACTGCGTTGAATAATTCGTCGGCGGGAGCTGTTTTATTTTCTGCAGCTAAGGTTTGACAGAGTTCGATTAGTGTACTATGTAATCGTTCAACTTGAGCGTTTGATGTTGAATGATGTACAGGCGTGACGGAGTGCGTTATTTGTAGCCGGTTGTACAAAAATTTCGCTATGTGTCCGTTAAATGTACTCTCGTTATCAGTCATGAGATATTTAGCATTTGGGTAAACTTGTGTGAGTACTTCTTCTATGTATTCGTGACAGTTTGTTTTTGTGTTTAGTTTTCGTAGGAAACAATATTTGGAGTATCTATCTATGGAGCTAAGATACTGCATGTTATTGATATGGAATATGTCCATCTGTATGTATTCTCCTACTCGTGTTGGTATTGGGGTTTTTCCTATAGGTTGTTTGTTTGGTTGTCTTTCATATTTGTGCTGTAAACATATTTCACAATCTACTGCTTCTTTTCTGCACCTCTCTTTAATGTTGGGCCAGTAGTGGGTCAACAATATTTCTTGTGTGTTATTTTTGTAATTTCTATGTGCACGTTTATGTGTCTGTTTGACGATTTCACTTTGCTCATTTAAGGAAGTTACGTCAATTAGCTGATTTTGGGCTAGTACCAGGGTGCAATTTGGGAATGTGGAAGTTATTTCTTTTTTTAAGTGAAATAGTATTTCTTCGTCTATTTTTATCGCATTACACATTAGGTCAAATGATTACTTTTTCTGTGCGAAATTAATAGCAGCTAAAATACAGCATTATTTTAATGTAAAAAGATGGCAAACGTTGAAACAAGTCTAAAGGCAGTAAATAAAATGTTAAACAGACTTGGCTTTCATAAAACAGACTTTCCTGCTTTTTTGTATATTCAAATGATGAGTATATCGTCGCATAAAGTACAAAACCGCGTATCGTCATTCTGCAAAACCGCGTAACTGACATTGGCTGCCAAAAATTGGATTTGCTCACACAAGCTCTTGGCTCAATCCTTATCCATTCGTCCTGAAATATACTAGCTAGAAATGCGATTGCTTTATAAAAAAAAAGAGAACTATTTTGAAATATGAGTGTTTTTACGCTCTAGAAAATAATTTCTACAACTTCACATACGCGGTTTTGCATTTTGCTTATACGCGGTTTTGCACTTTAAACGACGATATGTGTTTAGGTAGTACTCAACAACATTATCCAATTAGCTTGGTTTTGACACAAGTTATTTTCTTACCATACTCAACTCGCTCCCCTTTAAAATGAGCTACATAATAAAATAAGTATGGTGCCATGGTTTATTCTAGCGATTAGTTATGGCATTATCAAAATTCCTAAATTAAAAAAAGAAAAATATTTACTACATGTCTCGCAGATATGTCTTGAGGAGAGATTCCTAAAGCAGTTAGTCTTCATAAAACACTTCATTTTCACTTGAAGTTTCAGTATTTCCAAATTCTCCACCGATATTATTTATATTCACAATACAAATGCTGCTTTGTGACACATTTACCGAAAATCGCTGGTAACTTCCTGAAAAGAATACGAATGTTTTTGAAACTAATTTGTTAAAAGAATGTTTAAAGCTCTATTCACTTTGATTAAAAAAAATTCGAAATTTCAGTCCGTAAATTCTCTCAAGGATTTGCCTTTTTGCGAAGCCTGCTCATCAATGGTCT